TTAGTATTATTACAATTAAATTTTACAATTAATGATGCAGCATAGACCCTTAAGAGGAATTAATTCAATAAGCTGTTTAATTACTTTTATTTTAAAATAAGTTTTTTATTTTATAGGGAAACCAAGATTCAAGAAATAAGTGCTACAGCAATTTTTCGCCATAAAGCGATAGAATGAACCTTACCAAGTGTGGGCAGAGGTTGAAAAGTTGGTCGATGTGCAGTTCTTGTCCACTGAATAGACTTGGGCCGCTTAAAAAACTTTTAGTTTTGAAGAACTTCGATATACAAGTTAACTATATAAAGACTTGAACTATTATATATTGATTTATATAGGTAGAGCTTGAGAATTTAATAACAATATTCTTGCTAAATTTAGCTGAAAGTCGAAGCTCTTTCATAAACATAAATATATTCAACGGAGATATTTGCTTTTTCCTAAACACTTTTCGTAGAATGAAGATCAATTATAATATTGAAAGATCAATGTTGATCTATGCAAACGATTTATTGACTTAGCACTTCATATATACAATATATTATCTTAATTAGAATACATATTCTCATCTGTTTCTTTGTTATATTCCCATATTGCTACGGCCAATTAGCTGGAAGTTAAAGATCAGCAAGCTGAGGGAGTCCGACCGCGGCTGCTACATGTGCCAAATCAACACGAGTCCCATGAAGAAGCAGGTGGGCTGCATCGATGTGCAAGGTATTTGAGAGTTGCTCTATTGAAGAGAATATGCGAATATATATGTAATGCCATGTTGGTTGCTCGCAGTGCCACCGGACATTAGTAACGAGGAGTCCTCGGCCGATCTGGCCGTGCAGGAGGGCGAGGATGCGACGCTCACGTGCAAGGCCACGGGCAATCCGCAGCCGCGAGTCATCTGGCGGCGTGAGGACGGCGAAATGATACTAATACGTAAGCCGGGCAGCCGGGAGCTAATGAAAGGTGAGTGCCACAACGTCATGTAGCCCGACAGCTTAAGCTCCATCACAATCTTCACTCACAGTGGAAACCTACAATGGGTCCTCGCTGAGGCTGATTCGCCTGGAGCGCCGTCAAATGGGCGCTTACCTCTGCATCGCCTCCAACGATGTGCCGCCGGCGGTTAGCAAGCGCGTCTCCCTAAGCGTACAGTGTAGGTATCTGCCCCAGTGTCAGTGGGATAAGTGGGATTCATTGTTGCGTTTGTCTGTCATTCCCCAATTCCAGTTGCGCCCATGGTGCGTGCCCCCAGCCAGCTGCTGGGCACGCCGCTCGGCTCTGATGTGCAGCTCGAGTGCCAGGTGGAGGCCTCCCCGTCGCCCGTCTCCTACTGGCTGAAGGGCGCGCGCACTTCGAACGGGTTCGCCAGCATCTCGACGTCCAGCCTGGAGTCCGGCTCGCCCGGGCCCGAAATGCTCTTGGATGGGTGAGTGGTTGAGCCGTGGGCCAATATTTTTAGCCCTGCACAAGTCAAACAATCTCACGAATTTGCTATCCAGGCCCAAATATGGCATCACGGAAAAGCGCGATGGCTATCGCGGCGTCATGCTGCTGGTGGTGCGTTCCTTCTCTGCCTCCGATGTGGGCACCTATCACTGCGTCAGCACAAACTCGCTGGGCCGTGCCGAGGGCACGTTACGGCTATACGGTGCGTATGCGTTATCGGCACACACAATTCCCATGCCCCATTCCCATGCGATTTGTCTAACCTTTGACCTTGCGATTGTTTTAGAAATCAAGCTACATCCGGGCGCCTCGGCCAGCAACGATGAGAGCCTCAATTTCATTGGCGGTAAGCTCCACTCACTTTTTTCGTACGCTCCACAATTCTCAAGCCAATTACTGACGCCGATTTCCGATTTCTCATTTCCGCCGGCAGGTCTGGACGACGAGGCTCGCAATGTGGCCGCCGTCTTCAAGCAGACGGCGTGGCTGATGCTGCCCCTGCTGCTGCTGCTGCTGTGCGCTTGGAGTGCGTGATATCAAAATTGAGCGAGAGCCGGCAATCAAGTATTCCTACAGGTGTTACCCAGCCCTTGAGCCGATATCCCCCATCCCTCCGCAAAGTGTTTCGCTTACGCTCCCGCTCAAGCCCCGCGACCCCCATAATTCCTTATCAGCGTCTGTGTTGTTTGTTGTTTTTGTTAGGGCTTTCAATTTGTTCCCAATGTTTTGGTTCATTTTTACAATTTCTTTTTAACATTTTTATATACATATATATACATACATATATGCAACGTACTGCTAAACATATTACAAAAGCGCTGTGGGCCCCAAGCTCCCCCACCCCGCGAATATCATTTAAATACGTATCACGAGAATTGTTGTTCAAAGTCCTTTCCCCCCATAAATAACCGAAACGAAGAAGAAAAACAAAAGAAAGAGATGGCAAATGGAAAATAATGCCAAAAAATAAGAATAAAGTAAATAAATATGTCGCATTGCATATGAAGACACATGAATACTATAAAATAGTGCATAAATGTAATTAATGGAAAATTATTGAATAAATTATCGCAAAACTAAGCCAGATGCGTTCTTCCCTCTTTAATTCGGGGAGCTGCGCGTGCAGCGCTTTCTGCGCCACTGCCCGTCCACGTCGACCCACTGGGTGGCCACTGCACAAAGAAGAAGACATACATATAAACGGGATGTGTGAGCAAAAAATAGGCGGACATTGCAACAAGCAGAGACTTCCAAAGGCAACCGACCAGCCTATGCTCTATGACACGAGGACTCAATGCATTCATGTCAAAGCCTTCATTGCAACGATTATCGAAGCTGACTCGACGCGTTGTGGTCGAGGTGAGTATGAGAGAAATAGCCTAGGGGCGAGGGTAGTTTCGTGAGATATTGCATACTGCACGTTGACGGAATGTATATACCTAATAATTTATAGAACCCTCTATAGAGGAATTCAAATGCAACGGCTGTCTCTATATACAAATAGTTATATCAGCTTATTTTTTCAGTCGTATAATATCTTTTAATAATGAATCATCTACATAGTATATGATAAATAATATACATGGCATATGTATAGTCTTTAATTATATCGTTCCCGTTACATCATTAGCTATTCTCGATCTGCTACGTCTGCCCCACATTCCTAGATGAGATTTATGATTTCTTCAATATTTCAAGTGTCCAAACTCAATCGTTTCATAACCTATGTATACCAAATATATACATATATATTTTTCATTCCCTGGATGTATTCAAAAATCATACAAAAAATGTTACGGTAAAAATTCCCAAAACTATACAGCTTCAGTAGCGGTGAAATGATTTTCGTTCAATCAGACTGGCGGATATCCGGACGAGAAGATGGATGGACAAAGAGACGGAAGAGCAACCGAACGGACGGACGAACAATAAGACGAAATCAGAGCATGTCAAGCATTACGCGTAATCAATATACTCTTTTCACTGTGTGAGCGAGTATAAAAGCCAGGCATTAATATAGGAATAGCTTCGCCATCGAATACTTTTTCATTTTGAAAACCCCTGAAATATTTTATATTTGATCTGTTTTATCTATATTTTTTGTATTAAAAAACTAACTCAATAAAATGGTTTTCCGAAAAAAGTTCAGCCGTAAAGAACTGAAATCTATCGCAAATATCTATTTTGAGCTAGACAGTTCTCATTATAAACAGGAAATTGAAGTTATTGGAAATGGCTGGGAAAACTGAATCGAACAGCAAGTTGGCCAATGAAAGTTTGCTTTGCCAGATATCATGCGTTTGCTAGGTCGGTTAGCTTTAGAACGGCCCTCGTACAGTGCATTCAATTAATTAGCTTACCCCAGCGATTGCCCAGCAGAGTGGGACAGGCGGCGTGCAGGGTTCGGTAGTCGCACTCAATCTCATGGTTCATATTATGCCAGATCAGGGCCGAGCCCTTGATTGGCTGCACGCCCAGGCCTAGAGCGGGAAAGGATGTAATGCCGCCAAGCTGCACTTCGTTCAGCTGCAAAGGACGAGCAGGACGCCGAGAAGAGGAGAAGATAAACAAGAGTGAGGAAGCAACTGGCGCGCAATATGCGATTTAAGCCCTCTACTTACGTACAGCAAAATGGTAGCAATGCGATTACTCCTGATGTAAGCCTCATAGGCTGCCTGCCAAAAAAGAGTATTTACATACATAAATCCGAGGCATTCAGCAGCGGCTGTCAGTGTGCCCAGCACTGGAGCTCCGACAAGTCGGGCCTGCCTAACAGATTCCTTGGCCAAAACTTGCATTAAAAACTTCAAAGATTTCTCTCAACAAAAAGTGAAAGTTAATCCCTTTGCAAAGCATAAAGGCATAAAGGAATGGGTAATCGCAAGTAAACTTGAACTACTGTAATTAATTGCAGTTAAATTGGAAGTATGGTAGAATTTTAGAGTAATCAATACTGATCAGTCTGAAAGCTGTCCCAACTCCTAAGTTAGTCAATCAATCAGTCACTAAATCATTTGTCAGTCAGAGGGTTGCTATCAGTCAGCCAATCAGTTATTCAATCTGCGTCGATCAATCAGTTACTCCATTACTAAATTTAATCTATGTATATTGATCAGTTTGTCAATAGCTCAACTACTCACCCAGTCAATCAATTAGTCGGCCTATCAGCAATTAGTGTATCAGTCAATCAATTTGCCAATGAGTTTGTCAATCAATCATTTAATCTGTCAGTCATTCAATCAGTGATTAGTCAATCAATTACTCAATCACTAAGTCCATTAATATGCAATCATTCGTTCTGTCAATCTATCGATCAAGCTATCAATCAGTCGATCAATATGCAATCATTCGTTCTGTCAATCTATCGATCAAGCTATCAATCAGTCAATCAATCAATATATGAGACAGTCAATCATGCCGATAATCAACCAGTCAATAAATATCTAGATTATTCACTGAATTTGTCAATCAGTCAGTCAAGAAGTTAGAAGTTCTATGATTTGTTCAATCAGCCATTCAATCTATGACTCAATCATCCAGTTATTTGCCCAATAGGAAAGTGAAGTCATCTGAACCTCAGTCAAGTTCCGTAGCTCAATCAGTCAGTCTACCGCTACCCAGGCCTACCTCTACTACCATATAGAATTTGAGACCCATTCGTAGCACTCACGTTGTCCCTGCTAGACCAGCAATCAAAGTGCATGGAGTAGTGACCTCCGATGCCATAGTTGAGCACTGCCAGCTGATCGCTGTTGCTTAGATCGAAGCCGGACATATCCTCCAGCCGCTGGCGCAGAGTTCGTCCCTGGGTGGAGGCATTTAGGTCGAATGCCGCATCCATGGTGACCCGCTTCTCATGCACGACGCCTTGATCGACAAGGGCACGCTTCAGATAGGGCCTGCTCTGCTCGATGATGTACTCCAGCTCATTGTCATGGATGGCATTGTGGCAGAGCGCCACATATGGATCGATGCTCAGCTGCTCGAGCTTGAGTGGAGCGAGTCGGAGAAAGGGCGAGCCCTCTGCATTATAGCGACAGCGCAGCGAGTCGCTAACGGGCAGCTGCCTCTGACCCCGACAGATCTCAAAGTTCGTGAGATGAAAGTCCACGGAGCGCAGCAAGTTCAAGATGTGCTGCTTGTCCTGAGCGAGCTCAAGCATCTGCAGAAGAACTGCCCGAACGCGCAGCCAATTCTCTGCAAGGAAATCACAAAAACCACCAGAAAGTCGAGTTGGATTCATTGTTTATTCATGGCACTAACCCCTGGAAGCATGAATGTCGACCATGTCACGTAATATGGTTTCACTATCGATACTCAGCAGCTCGTAGACGCGCTCCGGCGTCCCTTCATAGAGCTCCAGTGCCAGCTCTAGCCACTTATTGGCTTGCTCATCCTCCCCCTTTTTGAGCAGGTGCTGCGCCAGGGTCAGACAGTCGGGCGTGCTCAGGCTGGCGCTGCAATGGATATAAGAGACGAAGATATCGAACCTAGTCCACTTGGCGATCTACAGACTAGAGACCCACTTGTATTGCTTCGGGCCTAGCAGACCCCGAGCCACATCGCGCTCACTCAGGCCCTGGAGCTGTTGCTGGCGGAGCAAGCCCTGCGTAGCCTTCGCCAGATCCTCCTCAGTGATGATGTCCAGACGATAGTCCGCAATCTGTTGTAGATCTGTGGGCGGTATAAAGTCTGGTGTCACTGTCGAATGAGCTTTTGCCGAATTGGTTTACCTGCGCCCGCATCTTGCTTCAGGTAGTTCAATATCTTGCCCGCATCCATGTGCATGCGTCGCACCAAGGAAAAAGCGACCAACGGACTTTCGACATAGGCCGTGGGATCAATCTGCGACTCCTCCAGCCTGGCCAGGGCATCCTCTAAGACTCTAGAGAAATATATAGATTTATATTGTATATAGAGATCAACTTCAGTGATTCACTTACAGGCGAGTCGTCCGCGCCTTGCGCTCCAGAGCTGCCACATAGAGTCTCAGATCCTTGAACAGATCGTCCTCGCCCTGCAGTACCCGGACCATGTCGTGAGATGACGTGGCTCCTGCCAGCAGCTGCAGCAGCAGCGCCACTAAAACTAGCTTGAGAGTCAACATCTTGTGCAATCCAATCAAAGACTGAAATGAATAATACAAAGTAGCGAGTCTTCTCACTGCGGAATACCCCTAACAAATCGATTAGTGCCCTTAATTTGCGTAGCGGCAAGTCTGGAAATATGGATGACACTTCAGCTGAATTGGACTCAAAATTAAGTTCGTTTCGCCTTGAAGTGTGGAGAGCCTGCCGTCAAGTGAATGTTAAATCTATTCAAGTGATCTCAAGTTAAAGAAAACCACTTTCAAATATTTTTTATGAATTACTGTACATTTTTTTTGTAGCTGTTTAAATTTATTTAATTTTATTTACTATTATTTAATAT